TATCCCTTACTGGCTTAATCTGTGTCGAACGTTTGCCCGATAGGTGCCTAGTTGTTTGGTAGAATGTGGCGAGGTCTCCTTTGCCTGCAGCTTGTTCTGCTTCACTTACCATGGCTTCATAATATTTTCTTTTGTCTTTCCTGGCACTCTTCTTACTCTTTTGTTCAGCGTATTATGGTTTGCATTCAAGTCCTGTTTTTGTTGCTCGTCGGTGCACTGGATAATCTTTTGCTTCACTGTCCTTCTCTCTTCTATTAGTTTCCAAGTGTCCGTAGTGAGCCACTGTTTGTCCTGTCTCTTCTTTCTGCCTAGAACTTCCATGCAGGTTTGACTCCACACCGTTTTCAAGTTGTCCCAGTGCTTTTCGACGCCGACCTTTTCGCTAGTGTTGATTTGTGTCTCGGCTTTGTCCTTTATGCTTGCAGTGAAGATGTCCTTTGTATCCTGGTTCCTCAGTTTTTCAGTGTTGAATTTGGCTTGTAGTCTGTCTACAGCCCCTGTTTCCCTGAAAGCCTTTAATTTGATTTGGAATGTTCCATGTACGAGATAGGGGTTTGAGGCGACGTCTGCTGCCCTTCTTACTTTTGTATCCAGTAAGCTGCGTCTCCACTTCCTTGAGCAGTATTGAGATGAAGTCAGTTTGGTCTTTGGTTCGCCCATTTAGTGACACCCATGTAGCCTTGTGGATATCTTTGTGTTTGTATACTCTGCCACCAATCACTAGTTCGTTGAAGGCGCAGAAGTAGGCGAAGAGTTCTCCATTTTCACTCATTTCTCCGAGAGCCTCTCTACCCATGATGAGTTCCCTTCCTGTGTTGTCTGGTCCCAGTTTGGCGTTCATGTCTCCCATTAGTATTTTAGTGTCGTCAGCTGGAGTGTCATCCATTGTTGCCTGTAGTTGTCTGTAGAATTCTTGTTTCTTTTCGAGGTCTGCGTTGTGTGTGTATAATTGACACTTTCCTTCCTTTGGAGTTGAATCTGGCGGTTATTATCCTGGGCGAGATCGCCTCCCATTGCATCAGGGCCTTTGTTGCCGTTGGTGACATCATGATAGCCACGCCCTCGGTGTGCGTGTGGTAGTTTATATATACTTTATTTAAATGGGCTGAAGTGAAATCTATTCGTAAATTTAAGTGCCTCACTGTGTGTTCAAAAACAATTTATTATTACTCTTAACATAACTTGGTGGTAATTCTATTATGGATAAAATTTTATTCTGATTAATTCACGCAGTATTGCGCAGTAACATTTACTGATGACCACCTTCTTTTAAGCACAATTTTCACTATTGCTCATAATCATATCAAGACACTACCCACACAATTCTCTTGGTTCACACTTACAAACATGAGTAAAAATTGATGATTAGACAGTTGAATAAAATCAATGTAAGATAAAGTACATTCGGAAACAGTATTAGTTTTCAAGAGTTCGGTTCGGTTTGTAAGCATTAGATTTGTTTATATTTTGATAGAGTATTTTCAATTCTGAAACACTCTCTCCACTGGATTTGACTTTCACACATCAGAAAACAGTTCACCAAGACAACTTATGCTGAATCACAATTTGAGAATTCATATATACATTCAACCAACTAACAGATCATAAGAGAACATAATCAGTCAGGATAGATAGGCTTGGTTGGTGTCTTCAAAGCTAAACTGGTTGACATTGCTGCTGTATGCTGTAGGCTGCCTGAAAACACTAGAAAGCACTTAAACATCTCAAAAATACTCACCAAATAGTAGTTAAATTACAATCGAATAAGGGTTTGACACTTGTTCTAATCAATAAAGAAGACTATATATTGCCGAGATGAACTTAATCCTACAAAATCCGGAAAAATTGATTGATTCAGTTTTAACATACAAAATAACTCATAAATGAAACATTTTGAAATTTCCATACTCCACTACGTGTAGCACACACAAAAGTAGACAAAAGAGACTACAATAAGCAGAAATCTACGGGAGAAAGAATAGTGACATGGATAAATCACTAGGGTATTTCGGATATGCGAGATGGCAAACAGTGAATACACTTTCGCAACACTAAGAACGATTTTTAGCCAAATCTCCAAAGGTCACTAAACATTGACTCTTAACGCTCCCAGGTCTCAAGTGAGACAGTCTACACATCACTATATGGCTGGCTCAAATTAATAGTCAAAAACGTCGAGGACTATGTAGTCAGGTGTCGACTCAACCAACCGACCAACCAAAACTCTTTTCCAACTTAAACTGATGTTAGCTGACATTCCCCCTCGACGAGGAAGGCGATGGTTCATCATGCCCAATACATGACCTAGCCATCTCAATCGACATACCTTCACAACTCCATCGATGAACTTACCCCTCTTGCCCAACACTCTATGATTAATCTCATTAGTATTCACCATATTATACCACCTAACGTGGGAAGTAGAATGCAAACACTTGTGGTGGTTGTGGGTCAGTCATAGACAGCTAGCCTTTCTTTCCATATGTCCCACTCTCAATAGTTTCAATGTCCTAAAGACATAGAGGAGGAGACAGTGAAGTGCTGCGCAGTATACGTATATTTTCATCAATGGGCAGATATCACCCAAGTTAGAGAATCCCACACCAGTCTTTTGTATCTGTACCGAGATTTCGTCAGCAATCAGTCCATTCAGGCTGATACAACTTCTCAAATAAGTCGTTCAGTGGCCAAAATGCTGTACTACTACACTCCCAATATTTAAGCTTGGAGTAGGTGCAGTGCAGTCCTGCAGCATCGAATCATATATCAAAGGATAGAATCACAAGCCAAATATTCAAAGATTTCTGTCCACAAGACTCTGCATTTTGTCAGTCTTCACAATATCATCCCCGTACAAAACAGGAAGGTTGAGCATTCCTGAAGGCCATCACCGACTTTCGTCACTTCACATGAACCCCCCCCCGCCGCCTCACAAGAATGACACCGCTGAGTCAGTTCGAATACAGTGCCTCGATCAGTGAGATATACTTCCTGGGAACTCCTTCATTTCAAATGTGTATACGGTGAATTTGATTGGAAATTCACTGTCCTAAATTCAGATGAAAGCAGTGATAATTCATCAACACCTCCAATTTCTGATACAGCCTCCGACCACTAATTGGTCCTCAGGAGGATAACATCACAGTGGAGAAAATACTACAATTATGCAAATAAATTAACTGTGATGATACTCATTGATGTCTAACCAAGCAGAGATTCAATATTCACTTCCAGGTAAAATCAAAATCCAGGCAGTCTTCATGTTTCTGATTAGTAGGTCTAGAATGAACACAACTATGTTGACGTATCCCTATATGATCATCCACTCCGACTTCACTGCCTCACGGATAACGTTTATATTTCGAAAACTTAACCATATACCAATAAAAAATGCAACAACATTACCTCTAATCTACACAAGGGTGAAATGTATGCCATACAGGTCACGCTGGAAGTGACATCGGTGACAAATATGGACAACAAAAAAAAACTAAGTTCAATTCACTATCCAGTGAATGAGGAAGTGAGATAACAAGAATAAAAAGTGGCCAACCGAATCACATTACCAAAAAGGAGGAACAAAGAAAATAATAGGCTGTTCACTTCCAAAAATTCTTCAACTGACTGTCACTTACAATCCATCCAGAAATACCATCAACAACCAAAGAACAACTGGCCAGTGGATACCAGTCGTCCAACGAATGCAGAAGTCTCCGATGCAATCAGGCTACTAAAGTGTAGAATGCAACAGGATCACGCGGAATTCTCTTATGAGGCATTGGAAACAGATCACGAGACTACAGCTGATATCCTCACGACACTAATGCAAAATATTTCCAAGGAAAGAAATAAATGTGCCGATCGATTTCATGAAAAACCACATTGTTAAATTACCAAAGAAGTGTAAATTACTCCTCTGCAAGAACTGGCGTAGAATCATGCTGTTCTCCACAGCAAAAGAAATATTAAGTCACGTCATCCTAGAGAGACGACAAGATGCACTGGAAACACGGAAAGAAAATCATGTGCTGAAAAAATTGCAGCCTTAGGAATATTCATCGAACTCAAGATAGAACCACAGTCAAATTCTACATCAACTTGTCAACTTCTAAGAGGCCTTCGACAGCGTTGACTACGAAGTGATATGGAAACTATCACCGATGATATTCCTACTTGTTTTGGATTGGGTTATGCGGGAGACTGTCAGAAAGTGGCAGACAGGAGGACGTTAGACCCAGGAGACTTCATGTGTATTTATGTCTGTCAAATAAATTCGAAGAGCTACAGGCGAACCGACGAACTCGCAGAAGATACTGATTACAAATACAAGAATTCAGATGAAGACTGAGAAGGCGGAGGTGGAGATAACAAACCACCGACAACAAGCACCAAACACTTGCTATACCTATCTAGAAAGTATCTTTTCGACTACTAGCCGAGTCACGTTTGAATCAAGAAAAGCCTTCATCAATCTAAAATCAGTTAAGAAATCTTCTGCACTCAACAAAACAAAAACAAAATCCCTATTTCCACAAGCGATGTTAAGTTATTCCTTCTAAATTGATTAGAAACTTGACTCACTCTGACGAAAAGCATTTCCACAACAGGACACTAAAGAAGTTATCAACAGCTACCTTCTTTGGCTCCAGATGGAAGATCAGACACGGCTGGAGAGAAAGAATCAAGAACACATTGGTCAACAAATATGCAGAAAACGGAAGTGGATTGACACTCTAAGGAGACCATCGGTAGAATGGGAAAGGACAACTTGGACGTTCGACAGCGACATGGAGGAGACCGCGTGCGGAGGAAATGATAAACTTATAAGTAATATTGAGGCCGGGTAATGAGGACTGCAGAAAACACGACAAAATGGAAATGACCTATTGAAGTTCTATGCAATCAAGGGAATAACAATGTAATATTGTTTTGCTAAAATCAGTTGGTTTAAACACATACAAAAACACTAGCAACAACAACAACAACAAACAATTTAATACTTACAGACTTTCCTCTGACTCAAAGTTCACATCGTTGTCAGTAAGACTGTGACCGTTGCTGCTATGGTTAGCTTTAACAACAATACCATATTTATTCTTCATGAATCGACTTAGAATTTCTAAATGCCGCGTAGTTAAGTTGTCATAATACTTTTCTTCTTCTTTTTTGTTAGACTTCAAAAGGAAAAAAATCAACGAATTATACAATGCAGCCTTAAGTTGTAAAACGGATTTCGATCAAAATGTTGACTGACTGACTGTATTGAAACACATCACACTTCATAAGATTCAAGTATTCTAACAGTACACCTTCCATAATAACAACTAGAAGAAATTGAAGAAAGTCTCACTATAGTTTTACTGGACACTAGTAACTAGTCTTAGGCGTATAGTATAGTCCTTTCTTCGGTTCAGACTGGATTGTATCGGTTAGTCAAGTTCGTAATGTGGCCACCATTCTAGGTAGCTGATATAGGTGCAGGTTGAAAAAGGGTAAGTGGTGGCCAAACAAAAACATGGCCTCATCAATCCATGAAATCCTTGACAGTTAAACTGAGTCAGCAGGTAGGGAGATGCAGAATTCCGGGTTGGGGCCCTCGGGACTCTAGGAATCAATGGCTGGAGACAATAGGTGACATGGCTCAAAATCGTTGTCAATGGCCAGCGCACATGTATTCAGTCTCTGTAATCTTTCATATTCCTTTCTACCATTACCCATTCTGTTTCACTCGTATACTTGTCAAACTCTATTGATTCTCTTCACTCATCTTCTTGTCTACTTTTGTGTGGTATTTGGAACGTGGCAACTCGAACTGCTGGACTTTGGTGACAAGTTCTATGTTGAATCCAGACAGACAGACAGAGAATGCATTTAAAAGTCTGAGAGGTCACGGTAATATAAAGAAAGAAAAATACTCACTTATATATTCCTAGATGAAAATGGTGTCAGCAGTTGAAACGACAACATTCAAAACCATAACCATGTAGGGATCACGAGCACAACTTACATGAATTACTTTAAGACAATTCCGTATGACCGCTGTTGAGTATCTCTCCATTGATCCGCTTACAGCTCTATCAAGAAGATGAGAAGAATTCAGTGAAGTGTAAACAAGAAACATGTAAGAGTAGAAACAGTCAATTTAATTAATTAATTTTCAAGTATTCGTTCTGTAGGGAATTCTTTTCGATTGGTCGATTGTAGGATTACATCATGAGCTGATATCAGTTAGAGAAGCATTCGCTCAACAACTTAGAATAGTCATCTCCCCCAGTGACACCGGATAACACTAGATATCATCTTATTATATTTGTAATGCTAACCGCATTATCAATATCATGCTGTGCTGTAGTTGGACATTTTATCCTCGCTTTCATAATTTATCATCATGGTTATAATATTATGTAATTGTTATGTGACAGTAGTTATTTTCCCCTCTACCCCTAGTATTATGCATACTGTTTATATACACTCATCGTTGGCTAGATTATATAAACACTTATTAGTATTATTATGATCACTTCGATTGTTATCCATTAACTCACACCTCTGGTCCTAAATTTTATTGACCACACTAATTCAAATGCCCACGACTAATATTTCATCATTATACAAGTGTAATGCCTGATGAGAATTTACCGAAAATACCTATTTGCTGGCTTAAATAGTGTTCTATAAGAATATTACCAATATTACACTGTATAATTGTGATAACCTCAAGAGGAATTCTCAAATAGACCATTCCTCGTTCAAACTGAGATACTTATTCACTCATCTGGACAATCAATCACATTGGGAAATAAAAATACTCACTCACTCACTCACTCAGTGTGAGTGTTACTCACCAGATTATTGGACTACTATACCAACTTACAATCCAGAACAATACAATACCACAATTACAACGATCCTATACTTTAGATAGGCTTGTAACCACCACCACATGAGTTTCTACCCTTCCAAATGCAAATCCATCTGTGAAGACTCGACTATTTGCTAAAGCATACACTTCAAATTGATTGTACACAACAACATCTTCCTAAGTCATCTGCATTCTCAAAAGGCATAGGAGAATTATCAGCGAACCAGTAGTATTTCGACACACTCATTCTCTACTGCAGTCTACTAACGCGTTGGTCGGTTAATTTCCCTCGACAATTCAAAGAGGAGAAAAGTGTTCCTATCGACGTAGTCATCTGAGAAAGTCTGCACAATCGCATTTATATTTACCAAGATCCATCCGTATAACAGACTTTCTATCATCAAGTAATACGGTGATGTGGAGTGAAGGCGTTCAGATAATTCATATTATTACTCCGAAGTAATATCCAAATAAATAGTTAAAATTTATAAATAGCCTAACAATAAACGGGACAACCGATAAGAAAAACTTCTTGAAATTTGATTATAATGTGAAAATTGTTATTCGATGAGAAGTAAGGCGGTAGTTCGGGGAGGAGGAGAAGAATTCAGTGAAGTGTAAACACGAAACATTTAAGAGTGGAAACAGTCAATTTATTAATTAATTTTCAAGCATTCGTTCTGTAGAGAATTCTTTTCGAATGGTCGATTGTAGGATTTCATCATGAGCTGACATAAGTTAGTGAAGCATTCGAGTACCTGGGAGTACTGGACGGCTGTCGAAGAGTCCCAAAATGGGACGAAACAGCTGTCTCGCAGTACTACCTGTCGAATTCTCAATGGTCCTCTAACTGATGTCAGCTCATGATGAAATCCGCCAACCATAAAAACAGAAGTGAACGAACAATTTGGAAGACTCTCAAATGTTAGTTAGTTGGATTTACGTCAAGAACCAATACCACAGATTATTGAAACCCGACAGGAGGTACTGGATAGTCGTTTCTGTCATCCTAATATGATACTATTCAGTAGTGTGAACTACGAACTGTTTGAAGGACCGAACCCTTAACCTTCACGTTAGGAGTCCAAGCTGGTTTACAAAACAGCTGTCTAACGCTCCCCACCTTTCACTAACCCCTCAAACTCATGTTTGTTCCTGATACGAATATAAGAATTGAAATTAATCCCAAAGGAACCCTTCTTAAGCATCTTTGTGACCACAATCACTATATAGAGATAAATTTGGTCGAATCTCTTATTCGTCCATGGTCTTCACCTCACTTGCAGTCGCCTTCAAGTCCGCACTGTGAAGAGTCCCAAACTGGGACAAAACAGCTGTCTCGCAGTACTACCTGTCGGTTTTCCAATAGCTGCCTAACCGATATCAGTCATGATGAAATCCACCTACCAATTAATTAATTAATTAATTCACTGTTATCACTCTTCTATATTCCTTGTGTACACTTTCTTATTACATTTACATCTGTCAAGTCTACACTCCACTACCAGCTTACCTCTTCTCATCGAATAACAACCTTTCACCTTATCTAATCGCAAACCTGTTCTTCCATTGTGTCATTCAGGTATTATCTTGTTTTTTTCTCACTTTGATTTATTTTAGAAACTACTTTCGAATGAGCTTCGAGCTAATCGTGGGGCCAGTTAACGATGAAGACTGAAGAGAGCAGGACACATATGGAGATGTACTTCTGAGGACCCATACTCACCACGGAACAAAACGAAATCAAAAGAATAACAATTGTGAATGTGTAAAATATCAATTAATGACAGGTGTGACCTAATGTGAAAAACCTACCTACCACGGAAACCCCACCCATTCATACCTCCAAATGTATAGCGAAAAAATTATATCACTCAACAAATACCATGGGGCATGACTTAGAAGTAGGTCAATTACACACACACACGCACACACACAACAAACACCAGTAGATCCGCTTCAATTACATTACTGTCATATAAAAAAAGGAAGTGTCATTCAACTACAGAAATATACTCAGTGTAGTTAGTGATCTAGTCGGGTCGTGAAATAATAGCAATGAAAAAGTGAAAACACAAAATGCAAACGCTCACTTGCAACTGGATAAACACTCCACAGTAGATTGATTAGTCCTGTGATCTAAATTTGATTTTTTAATAAGTAATTTTTCAGTATTCATGTTCCTATATAAATTTAATGTTTCATTTATGGCATTCTGTCTTACTATTGGTCAGTTCAAGCTAATGATCATGTCACCCAATCCGACTACCTCCCCCATCATGCATACTATTTTACACTAGCCAATCACAGGATAGATTGCACAACCTTCAAATGACTAGGCCATTTTCCTTTGACACAGCTTCTCACAATCATCGATTACAAAAGTCAGTCTGCCCGGTCAACATCCCCCCTCCTCTTCTTGTTCTTACTGTTAGGCAGTATATTATTAAAGTGAGTTAACTAATTATGGGATGACCAAAATTGCTGGGCTGAATGCAATTGATCATAAAATAGATATGATAGAGAAGATTTGTAGCTCAGGTGGATAATTTTGATGTGGTTTTGTTCTCTGAGCTGGATGGTTAGTTTGCGAAGCTTTCATCACCTTACTGGGTGACATCTTCAGCGCATTCATATTAAAAGAGAATCCTCCAATCAATAATAACAGCCCAATAGAAAAATGGAGGGCAGGGAATTTGACTCCTCAGTTGAAATGTCATTTGAGTGGCTAGTTCAAAATAGAATGCATTAAAGTGCAGATAGTAGAAGGTGAATGTAAAAGTTGATAGGTACAAATTTGACCGCATGGACAGGCGGATAGCTCTTTCGTCCTAGCTTGGGACTCTTCATGAGTAGTCAGTCACCGGGGAAAACCTTGTATCTTCCAGGTACCAGGTACGCTCGTAAACCATTCAGTCACTGGGACCTCATCCAGTGGCCAGTGCACGAATAACAATTACTGCTGCTCCGTGATATATAGCGAAAAGATACCAGTCATTTTCATCGGTGATTAAATTTTATCTTACCTGACACAGCCGTTCACTACTCCTTGGTTTTCAATCGTTCAACCATTAATGTCAGTTCAATTCGTGATCGAACTCGAAAACAAATAAATCTGTTCAGTGACACAAGTAAAGTCCAGTTTATATCTTTGCAGAACACCAACAGTCAGTTTGCGTAAAGGCAACCATGTAGAAGTTACACACGCTGTGTTAAACTTAGTGACAAGGCTTAACTTCCTATTCTTCGCTGGAACAGTCAACACGTTCAAACTCTTAATTTAGTATATTTATGTAAACCCGATATCTATGGTCGGCCTGCAAAATTTGGGCTACCGATATCCATGCTGAAAATTCCATACTTGTACCAAAGATACGGTGTGGAATCAAGCTGTGAATAAAAAAACAGATGAAGATTTGGCCGAATATTTCCACAACAATATAAAGACTATAATAATTAATGTCTTTCAGGAAAACTGAAATAAATAATTCGTGGCAGGACTTCGGATCCTTCTTTTGAATGTTTATTATGTATGTCACAACCTAGTAGTTGAAAGTGCCAAAATAAAATCAGTAGACCGATCATAGCTTCATATATTGCTACTATAGACATATATAATTCATCAGAACATGATGGATTGATGAATTATTGAATTAAGTATAAAACTTGGGCACTGTGGTAGAGTGTAGTTCCAATATGGATAAGATTTTATTTTGATAAATCACAAAGTGTTGTGCAGTATTATTAAATGATGATCACGTTTCGAGCACAAACTATTGCTTAATCAAAAATATCCAATACAGTCCTACAAGAGGTCAGTCGCGCGCCTGAATAGCTCAGTGGTAACGTCTCTGACTACAGCAATAGGTGACGTGGGTTCGAATCTCAGAAGGGACATGAGTTCCTTTGAGGTTGCAGATACGCCTTGCTGATGAGTGCCAACTAGTACGGAACATAGGTCCAAGGCTTCCTTCCGATTACCTCTAACCATCTAATTACTGTACAGCACTGTGTGATTTATCAAAATAAAATCTTATCCGTAATGGGTCGACGATTTCACTTAACTCCACGCCCACAGCCACCACGCCTCCTTCAACAAAACACTATTGCATATTGTATCGAGACTGCTTGAAACTAATTAGTAGAAACCCGTTTTCCAAAAAACACTTTGTCATTGCATTAGTTAATTGTAAACAAGTTATAAACGTCAAATGGCATATTGTGAGGTCAAATCACGTCAAGATAATAAAGAGAATAACGTCGTGGTACTCCACTTTGATAACACAGATACCATGGTTATAGAAGTCATCTGATTAAGAAAAGACGGATTTACCCAAATAACACTGCAGACGTTTGCATAGAAAACCCTCTCACACTAGAAAATATACTCACGTCCTGAGCTTCCTACCTCTGCAATAAAAACGTAATCCGATTAGATGTTCGGTTCGCCAAACTACATTCTTAGTCTACTAAGTAGAAATGGATATCCGACTAAATTCGTGGACAAATACATGAACTCAGAAAGTAAAAAAGTCGAAGTCGCCAATTGTCCCCAAAAATTCAATCTTCTTAAGATTACAATTCATGGGTGATGTCGGTAGCGAGATCCTATCACAATTTCTGAGAAGGGCCTTCAAAAGGACTTTCAACACAGCTAAGGGATGCTGCATATTCACTTGTTAAACAATATATAGTTCAAGAAATGAAGACAAACTAAAGTTGTGTATTTACGACTTTAACTGCCCGTCCGGAGCTAGTTACATAGGGCATACGATCAGCCAAGCTAATCGTCGAATTTCTGAACACCTTCTCCCATCTTCGTTTGGCAAAGGTTCGAATAAAGCTGCTATATGAAGCTCAATACTAGCTCATCTCGTTGATACTGTCTGAACATCAAATCGACTCTAACGAAACTCTTGCGTGTTCTATATAAAATGTATTAAGTTTTTACAAACGATTTTTTCCACTCCTCTTGTAACTATATTTTGTATAGTTGGTTTGTAAGGATTAGATTTGTTTTTAACGAGTTGATCACGGATTGACATCAGTTAGGGAACTATTGAAAACCAGTACTGAAGTACTGGACAGCTGTTTCACCCTAGTTTGGGAATCATCAGCAGTACTCGCCCACTTGGGTTAATTTTTACACTTCTAGCTAATTCTATTAACTTGTTTGTATTTTACGCTATTCTTCCTAGTCATCATTGCTATTTTACAAATTTCTTGATTATGTAATAACTTGTTGGTAACGCCCTAAGAATTAACCTTTCGTGAATCCCGTAGTTATATTCAACCCTCCTTCCTTAGAAGCTTAGATATCTTGTTAATGACATCTATTAGTCAATTGATGTTTTGATGACTTTTAACCTCTTAATTGCATCACCCACTGCCTGCCTATACTTAGAACTGATGGAGTAAAATAACCACTTGATTGGTAAAATATTTTGATGTAAACAACTGTATATTAGTTTAGAGGCAGCTGATGACGAGGAACTAATTGTAAAGGAATATATTTCTCAACTCAATTTGTTTTTTTCCCTATATATCCTTGTTATCGCTGTCAACTGGCCCTACGTATGACCGCAAGCTTTCATTTCCGCTTCACATGAATCTTCTCCATGTTCCCCTCGCACCCACGGCCAATTCGTCACCTCAATTCGGTTTCCACTCGATCGCCTAACTAACGTGTTATATCATTCAACGGTCTTCTCAGTGTATGTCCACACCATCCATCTCCCTACTAGTTCTGCATATTTATCAGCTTGCCCACTCACTATCTGCCAGAATAGCATTAGAATTATCTTATCTGTCCGACTGCATGATCTTTGATATGGAGAGAACTCAGGTATTGGTGAAAGTCAGCAACGGTGACCTGTTGGAGATGCTGCTTCTGGTGACTGATGTGCCAATTCCCTGAACCATATAGAAACATTGACTAATTTAAATAAGATAAACACTCCGATCTTGTTTCATCTGCTACACACTTATTATATGGTAGTGAAAGCCTGATATAAGAACAGGACTTGATCCATGTGGTAGGGTATAATTCCACGACAGAGTAAATTTGTTTGAGAAAGTTTCACAGTGTTATGCAGTAATATTACTTACTGACGATCACATTTCGAGAACAATTTCCATTACTGCTCATAATCAATATCAAGGCACTATTCACACAACCCCTTCTCACTTTGTTTACATAATTCCATTATTTTTTGTCACTTGATTTGATGATGATTGCTGGTGGTACGAGTATTTTGCATATCTCTGGTACTAGTGGTGATGAGTCATTCCTATTGCACGTGTAGATTATTCTATGAACGAAGATCCAATGAGTCAGTCAGTTGGTCAGACAATCAGTTAGTCGTAATCAACCTCTCTCTCTCTCTTTCTCTTCATCCATCTACGTTTAATTTTTAGAAATGTGACTGTGTCCCACCATAATGTGTGGTTGTGTGTCAATATATGCAGTGGAATTGCTGACTTTCTTCTAGATTATTTGTCTCCACAGTGTCAGTCATTTTACACTCGACTAAATTCTTATGTTCTGATTGTCTGACTACCCACCCGCCCTATTCCAGTGGTTTGATCTTTGTAGTTGACCTAACTGACAGTCATTGCAAGGTAGGTATTTGGTATATTGTATCATTCTGTCTAATTGGGTCAACCTACGGGTTCGTTTAACCTTTACTCACTCACTCACATACAGCATTAGTCAGATTGAGAAAACACCACCTTCATTTGAATATTGTAAATAACTCAGTGTTTTGACATCTACTCACAATGTGCTACACATCACGACAACACACACACACACTCATACATACATATAACTACCAATGAAATTGTGCTCGAAACGTCATCCGTAAATAAAAGAGTATAACGACAAGAGAACAAGAAGCCGTAGTTTATCTATAAGGTGTTATGTAATGTGGTGTATTTGCGCAACACGTTTCGGACATTCTCATCACACACACACATTTATGTAGAAGGTAAGAGTAGGCGTGAATGAATGGAATACAGGTCGAATTTTGTACACGTCAAGGACACAGATCAAAAATGGGGGCGGAGAGGGACGGGACGGGGAGAGGTAGAAAGATGACATGATAATGTGGGATAAAATCAGAATGGAGGCAGAGAGTGAAACTAATGTAAATTGAGTCTTGGTTCTAAATTGCATTG